GCCCACCCTACCCGAGGGGGTCATGTTTTGAACAAACTTGAATCTACACTATCTGAGGATGATTCCATATAAATAAGACAAATAATGGCTTTACTGTTCCTTAAGAAAGGTTTTGAAAGTCTTCAATATATTCCTATGTTAAACTTTGATCCCAAATTACTTCCCCCACCCTACATGTAGGGGTCATGCTCTGAACAAACTTTAATCTACACTAGGGGTCATGATTTTAACAACCTTGAATCTTGATTCTACTTTTCCTGAGGATGCTTCTATATTAATACGACTAATCATGGTTTTGCAGTTCTTGAGATGACTTTTTAAAGATTAATCCTATGTATCCTATGTATAACTTTGATCCCCTGTTGTCTCCCCGCCGTACCCCAGGGGGTCATGATTTGAACAACCTTGAATCTACACTACCTGAGGATGTTTCTTTATTAATATGACTAATAATGGCTCATCTGTTCTTGTGAAGAAGATTTTTAAAGATTTTTTTTCTAGATATTCCTATGTAAAACTTAGATTCCCTGTTGTGGCCCCGCCCTACCCCCGAGGGTCATGATTTGAATAAACTTCAATCTACACTACCTGAGGATGCTTCTATATAAATATGACTAATAATGGCCTATCTGTTCTTGTGAAGAAGATTTTTAAAGATTTTTCCTCTATTTTCCTATGTATGACCCCCTGTTGTGGCCCCGCCCTACCCCCGAGGGGTCATATTATGAAAAAAAAAATTGAATCTACAGTATGAAATGAAGCTTTCACACAAGCTTCATATTTTCTGGTCCAGTGGTTCTTGACAAAATTATTTTTAAAGATGCCACCTTTTTTTTTTTTTACGAATTCTTAATATTTATCTCTCCTTGAACAAACTTAAATCTCTTTCATCCAAGGAGCTTTGTGGCAAGTTTGGTTGAAATTGGCCCAGCGGTTCTTGAGAAGAAGTTGTAAATGTGAAAAGACGACACACGGACGCCGGACACTCTTCGATCAGAAAAGCTCACTTGAGCTTTCGGCTCAGGTGAGCTAATTAATAGTAATCTCTCAAAACTAAAGTTTACGATCGACCGTTAATTATACTTAAGGTCTGTCAGATCAGTTTATGAGCACAAAATCATAGTTTTATTATTGTTAACTATTATTCACGACCAAAAACTATTCACTAATGTAAATTAAATAGTACAATTTTGAAAAACCTAGTTTATAAACTGTAAAAGTATAAGCTTATTTTTGTCCCCCGGTTTCGCGAAAGCAAGGGCACATTAAATCTCAATCGTTTGTCAGTCAGACTTCTGAATGAAAAACGATGGGGCTTGCGTATGTACATTACCTGTGACAGACCTTTCCAAATCTATCATGAATTTTGACCACGTTATCTTGACCTTGAAGTTTGATTACTTTTCAAACATTTTAACATTGGTGATATCTTTTGAATGAGAGAAGATAAGGCATTCATATTTCACATGTGCTTCGATTTTTCAAAATTTATAACATTGGTGATAACTATTGAATGATGGAAGATATGGCGTTCATATTTCATATCTGCATTACCTGTTAGGAGACCTTCCCGAATTTACCATAGTTTTTGACCTTGTGACCTTAATTTTAATCTATTTTCAAATATTTAAACATTGGTAATGATTTATGAATGAGAGAAGATAGGACATTCGTATTTTACATGTAGATTACAAGTGACAACACCTTTCAGAAAGATCTGTCATTTTTGAAGTGACTTTGACCTAGAAGTTTCGGATACTTTTCAAAAATTTTAACTTTGGCCATTTTTACATGAGTAAATAAGACTTTTCGGAATGTATTACGATTTTTTTTTGTACAGAGTAAAAACTTTCCAGAATGTATTATATTTGACCTCAAAATGCTTGCTGCTTACTTGTCACACATATGCAGTTATCTAAAAGACTTTGTATAGCTGCCACAGTTTGTGTAGTTTCTCTGCAGTAAGTGTGCATCAATGTTTTCAGCAGATTACTAAGAAATGTTTGCTGCAAATTCCGGGTACCTTGATATTTTATCGTATTCATTCTTTTTCACTTTGATTTTTTTGTTTGTATGTTGTTTAACGTCCCTCTCGAGAATTTTTCACTCATATGGAGATGCCACCACTTGCCGGTGGAGAGCTGCAAATTTTGTCCTATACTCGGCATTTACGGCCATTGAGCAGTGAAGGATCTTTTTCGTGCGGGACCTCGGTTTATACGGTCTCATCCGAAGGACCGGTCTCCACGTCCCACAGTGGGATTCGAACCAGCGACGTAAGGATCAACTCCTTACTTCGCGACTCTAGAGCAGACGCTCTATCCACTGTGCCACGCGGGCGACTTTTCACTTTGAATTCTCATCTCATAATTTCTCAAAACCTTTATCGCAGGGAAAATCGGTGTAATCTTTACATTTAACATTTTTTTAGTTTGTGCCAAGGACAAGCACATTTTCCTTGTTCTTTTTTGATGGTAAGTAGCACACCGAAGAAAAAGATATCAGTATCATGTCAAAAATTAATGTCAAAATACTAGTTACGATTAAATTTTTTGGAGAAAAATTTTAAAACATTTTCTCATATTTCCACTGCCAGAAATAATCCAAATGTTGGGTTCTTATCACTTCAAGGATATAAAATTCAGAAAATAATGCATAAAATTTTCAATTTTTTATTTTTTTTAATCCAATGAGACTGTCACCATCTTTGTGAAAGAAGTTATTGGCATTCTTTCCATAACTTCAATATACATGTATTTCTTGTAGAACAATGATGTAAGATTCATAATCTAAATAGACTCTTAAATAAACAGTCATATAATTATTCATTTTAAACCAATGCTTTACTATAACATAATATATACTGTAATATACACATGTACTTGGCAGAGTTATGTGCAGTAAAACAAATCTCTAACTTGTGAATATACATCTAAATGTTCTTCAATATATTGAAAATTTTAACATCAAACTTACTAACAAAACTGCTTTTAAAAAACAACTGATGTACATATGATGCTGTCAAAAAAGTTTGTGTACAAAGAATAAAAGTATATGTTGATCAATTTAAAAAAAATCTCTTTTTCAAAGTCCATCACTTTAGAACTGCTACTGCATGAGTATGTAATTCTAGGCTAACATGTAAACATGCAGGTAATTACCCAATCTTTTTTCAGCTCTGTGAAGTCCCTACAATAAAAAAAAAACATGAATGGATTCAGTGATGTACCTTTTGTAAATGAATACCAGTACTAAATTTTTACATGCATCCATTCTTCATACAGACATGAGTACTGAACATCCTTAATTATTTTTTTTTAAATATTACATTGTATTTGAATTTTTCAAAGGAATACCTCAATGTCATTCATATTGACTGGATTCCTTGATGCAATCCATCATTCCTTATGGACACCTGTCAATCTGCAACACAGCACAAGAGAAGTAAATGAGAGGCATATACTTCTGTACAACAACAAATTTAAAGATTGAGTGCCTTCAAAAAGAGATAGTGTTTCTCACCTTGCAAATGAAAAAGCTTCATGCCATTTCATGATTTGCTACATATACAGGTATCTTTAAAATGCATGTTGGAGATGTTGTCTTCCCCTTGGATTCTCCTTGTCTTCAGTATGCTATCCATTAAATCTATTAAATAACAAGAAGAGGTTTTAACGGTAAGCTACTCAATTGGGGTAAAATTTCATTTGCCTGAGCATAATGCTTGAACTACACATTTTTTCTTCATTTTATATATATATATGTACTTTGTATATCACTTAAATTTTATTACATATAAAAAGTACTGTACATGTACCTGAGCACATCTTAAATTAAAAATTAATGCTTTTTACTTCTTTTTTTTTTTTAAATCAAAAATAAATGTGCAACATTTTTTTCAAATGAATAGGAAATGAATCTCAAAAGTTATATATGTGACATGCCTTTGGAAAGGGACATGGATAAATTTGAAAAAACAAAACAAAACAAACAAACTACAGGTACATTAAGCACCAAGCTCAAAAAAAAATGATCCCCCCTCCCATACGAGTATAATTGCTAAATGTATGTCTTGGCAGTATGGAAATGAAATTCTGTGAAAGTTTCATTGTAATTCATTCAGAGGTTTAGAAGGAGTTGCAGATAAGAGAAGAGTACTCCCAATATTACAGGCAGTGTCCATGTTTTGCTACAGAAAACCCCAAGTATTTGTCCAATCAAAAAGTAATATACAATATGCACAATGCCACTACATATATAATACAGATTTTGTGAAAGTTTCATTAAATTGCATTCAGTGATCACTAAATAACCCCCCTCCCCCCAATTTTTCAAGCTAGAGGTATAAAAAGCTTTTTTTTTAAAAAAAAAAAGATTAAAACAAATAAACAACAAAATGGACCAAAATGAAAAATAAATTGGGGACATTCTATACTTTCCAGAATGTATCTAATAATATACACATAATCTCAATGACAGTTTTTTTTTTTAAAAATATCTTTGTTCTTTTTTGGCATGTCACATACATTTTATTTTGAGAAAGCAGTGATAACAATTCATGATTCAATTGAAGGTCCATGTTACCTTTGCTGGTTCTCATGTCTGTCATTTTGTCCTAAACTGGTGGTCTTCCCATGTATTGTCATACAGTATCCGTCAAAATTGACAACCAAAACATGTTAAATCAGACTTGTGACTCTTAATTGTTTATGTCCATAAACAATAACAAACTCAAACACTGGAGATATTATTTAAATCAAAATCTATGGAAAAATTTATTAAAGATTGAGTGTCTTGATGCCATTTTTTTTGTTTTTTTTTTTTTTGGTATTTTCAAATAGAAAATGAATATGCTTCAAGTATGTTCTGTCACGTCACAGAACCTTAATACTATGTATTAGACTGAAGAAACTAACATCTAAAACTTGCAACAGTTCAAATCAGATTCTGAACCTCAATCATATTTTTAAAAAAAAAAAAAAAAAAAAAAGGTCTGCACATCACCATCAAACACATTTATTTAATAAATGCAAAATGAAAAGTTCTCTCTGAAAGTATATGCAATGATAGAGGCTACATAAATGCTTCAAAATAGATGTTTATTCACAATAAATCATAACATTTTGAAATGAATCTTATGAAAGAGGGCAGGCAAAGGCCTGACTATGGTATACCTTACCAACTAAACAGCAAACATGAAATGAGAGATCAATCAATTATGATACAATTTAGAAGCAACATCAAAATTGCATGACATGTGAGGTTTCTATGAAAGGGTATTCTTGTCTTTATAAAATTTCAAATTGTCCATGATCTTCATTCATTAAAACAACATACTACATATGAAATTTTATGTACATGTATCTACTAATGAATTGATAAAATGACGACAATTACTAGTCTGGTAAAAGAATCAATCAATTGAACGTCCTTTAATATTGAAAGATGGATGAAAACTCAATTATATTTTTTTGTTTCATTTTGTCCTTTGTAGTACCATAACCTTATAGAGGTCAGATGTTTTGTCAAGAGTTATTTCCCTTTGTCATCCTTTGTCATCCAGAGTGGTCTTTCTTGGTATCCTGATGTATATAATGTCGTCAGTCGTAATTCTGCAGGTCAGTAGTTTATCTGCTGTAAACAACATGATTATGTAAAACACCTGCTTCAATTGTCTTTATATCTGTGTTTCCTATTTAGGAGAAAATAACTGAATGTACGACAAATATGAAATTATTATCTTTTTTCCAAAAAGATATTTCAGAAATTTTGTGGGGTTTTTTTAATGGTCAATACATACATGTTTGTACATATTTGTGAAGGAAAGATTGTGTGCTTACAAATAAAATACAGGTACCTTTTACAGGTCACTCGAGATCTCTCAAATTAAAAAAAAAGTTCCAGTGATAGGGGGGATTGAAAGGGGAAAGAAATCCGGAATTTCCAGGTCTAATCATTATGGTTCTATTATAATGTTTACCAGAGGTATTTGCTGAAAACATTCTGGCACATTTTGATTTTAAATCGAACAAAGATCGTATCTTTATTAAATAAGAAAAAATTTTCAAGTTCCAATATTTACTTGTTCTCATTTCTTTACGTACTAATTTAATTATCAGCTCTTAGGACAACACACAGGTGTATGGTATGTAAACATCAATTTAACGCATCCACGCTAGCCCAAGGCATTTACCTTTATTCAGGTAAGTCCTAGGTGAATTCATTACATTTTTAATTGGTGTTCATGTGTGTGCACAATCAACACTTCAAGAGATCAACAGTAAAAAGCAATGAAATCTGTGTAACAGGACCCAGGTTTTTGTTCTCAAGATGGAGAACTTCAAGAGACCGGAAGTTTGAGAGAACGGGTTTAAATATGCTTAGTTTTTTTGAAGGGAAAAACAGGACTGGGGTTTTAATTCTTGAGATCAAGAACTTCAAGAGAAAGGAGTTTTAGTCATCCATACGTTATTAAATTTTTTTCCAAATGGCTTTTTTAAAAAATTCATTCTAGAGTATTTTTTTGTCTCGCTTATAAATACTAAATACCTATCTCTCCAAAATATGGTGACACAAAAATTTGGTGATCTACAATATGCAAAATGTACCAATTTGTTCTATTCAACAGTTGCCTGTTCTGGATCTTTATAATTCTTTTTTACACACACTAGTATATTATATGAATGACTTACTGTATAAAATACTCACCCTTTTACATTCTGGCTTTCTTAGAAGGTTCCTCATCCTCTGGTCCCCTCTGTGGTTCAGCCTCCAGAACTTTCAACCTATTTCCAGCCAAATTCTGTCCATGTAAAGTCTGAATGGCTTTCATGGCACATTCTTTGGAGGCAAATTTGGCATATCCATAGTTTCGAGCTGTAAAAAGATGTATATATCGTCTTAAATGCTATAAACCTATTATACAGACAATGTTTTGATATAATTTATCTTTTGTTTTGTTTTTTAAAGATAAATAGGAAGATATTTTTTACAGTTTTCACCTGTGTATGACCCCCAAGATTACTCTAAGACCCAAAATAGATAATGAGTGAGTACAGCAATTTTTTTAAGAATTCTTGAAATTTCAAATTCATGTACATTATCTAATACAGCATATCAGATAGCACTAAAAAAACTAGGTCCTGTAATATTTTTTTCCTCCTTGGATCTTATGGGCGTACCATTAAATTTTGGAATCCATTTATCCTAAAATTGATTAACAACACTGTTTGGCATTAAACTGTCTTCAAAATTCCACCAAAATGACCATTGAAAAACATGAGAACTACTATCTGTCAGAACTAAATACATGTATGAGAAGTGAGACAGTAAAAATGATAAACAGTGGATCCTATACTCATCCCTGTCACTATTTCTCTTTGTATGTACATATGATAAAAATGGCTGAATTGTGCCAGAATGGCAAAAAAAAAAAAAAAAAAAAAAACTGCCTCCATTTTTATCCTTTACCTGGCAACAAATACACATCAATGAGATTTCCCATTCTACAAAAGGCATCCCTCAAGACTTTTTCAGGAATTCCCGATGGCTGACACACTATGAAAAGTCTCTGTGCGACATCGGTGTCCTCGGGTAACATCTGTTTGGGTGGGGGGAGGGGAATGGAACAGTATGGCACACGCTCAAAGTTGTAACTTGTATTAAGAATGGTCTCTGGATTCAGGCCTGCCCTCTCCAACACTGCTGCAGCCTAGCCAAATATTAAAATGGGTTATGATGACTTTTATATATCTCTTAGTAAACAATTCTCTTTTCAAATCCCATTCAGCATTACAATGCATGACGTGCAAAGAATAAAATCTATCGATAATTAATTCTTTTACCAGCTTTTAATCACATGCAAAAATTTTCTGGGAGTTTCATGGCCTTCACTGAACTCGTGAATATTATTCTGACCATAAAACATTCATTTAATTGTGTATGTATATAGCATGTTTCCTTATTCCTGAAGCTGATGGATTTCAATCTGATGTCATGAATACTTAGTTAACAGTTTTATGATTAATTCCTCATACCCTTCGAAGAGTCTCGTTCTGACCATCATTGGGCGGCCCTCCTCTGGGCCCGGGGTAACCACCATAACTCCTAAAACATTCCATATTCAAAGCTTCAACTTAATTCTTTCAAAAGGAAAATTACTCTCAATTTCAACCTCAATCAAAATAATGTGTGCTTTACTTGTTAATATACGTTTAGATTATATTCAAGAGAAACAGTTGCAGCATATCATGCTCAGTGAACATTAACCAGACAGCAAAACAAATCTGAACCTTCAGTGGGAAATTATTACCTCTCTTTATGATACTTACGGGTCCATCATATTAGGTCCCCCCATGGGAGGCCCCTCCATTGGTCTCTGCTCATCAGCAAACCTAACCATCAGACGACTGCCAATAGGATACTCAAATCCATTCAGTTTATCTCGAGCATAGGCTGCACACTGAGCACTCACATAACGGGCATATGCCACACCTGAAACATTATATTAAAGCATTAATGGTTGCCAAGGTTGAAAATCACACAATTACTTACGTTAATACTTTAAAATCACACAATTACTTACGTTAATGCTTTAAAATCACACAATTACTTATGTTAATACTTTAAAATCACACAATTATTGAGGTTATTATAAAATCACACAATTATTGCTGTCCCCTTTTCTCTGGTATTCTTGAAATCTGCTTCAAAAGGGATGAAAATAAAAGTTTACACCATATATACAGTGTGCGCCAAATACTTTTTTCTTCAGTACTAGTCCACTTGTGCTGGTTGACAAAACTTTACTAGCCCAAATCACTTTTTACTACCCTCACCCCTTAAGTTTGAAAATAAAATGCACTTAGTTTCATTTCAGTCCTTCAGAGTTAATTTATGTAGTTTAATTCACCATTTCTCAACTTCATTGGCAGTCTCTGTCTCAACTGTTATTGACACATTTCCCGCATTCTTTACGGCCATTTAAACATGACTAGGATGAAACAAACCAAAAAGGGACAGAAAGAAATATTCATCAACCAGGATATGAAAATCACCAAGAAAGCCGTAAATTTTAAAACAAGATTATATTTTTTGGACAAAAATGTTTTTTGACATTTTTTAACATTACCAAGATAAAAACTAGTGTGTCTTCTGAGCTCTGCACGATGCAATTAAAAAATATAGATAAGTATGCCCATATGTGAAAACGGAAAATGCTCCTACATTTTACTAGCCTAACCAGATTTTTACTAGTGTTCGGGCATCTGGCTGGTCATTTTGGCACATACTAGAAATATGGACAAATTTTGATCACTGACAGATAAACTTACTCGAGACAATTGCTGAGAGAATTTTCTAAAGACAACACTTGCAATATGTATGAGTAATAAATCTGAAGACACAATTGTATGTATAATTTACCCGTGGTCTCGTTCAGGTCACAGTACTCAAGCCCTGGAATAAGACTGAAGAGTCGGGTGAGGTACCCTTGAGTAAGGCCTATGGGGGCCGTGATGTGTAGTCTTGTACTCAAAGTAGGGGTGTTGTACGACTGAAGTAGATCCATGGGACCCTGGCCACCACCACCCATCATAGGACCTGCTGAACACAACTAATTAGTTAATCTATTTTATCAAATTTGACAAATCTTAATTAAAGGCTACTCAAAATAATAACATTTACAAAGATTGTTAGAAATGTTTTACTGTTTTACAAATTCCATTGTGTATATGTGCTATTTGCATGAAAACCGTAAAACTCTGCAGAGTTTTCCCTTTACTTCAAAGTAAAGGTTATAGATCAATTGTAACAGGCTAGGGGTTGAGGTTGAGGTTTATGAACAAAATCACTGTGGACCTAGTCCTTACAACAATTATTTTTAAATTTTTGATTTCTAAGCGGCATTTTTATCAACTGAAGTGGTCAATTTGGCTGGCAGCCGGTTCTTAGGGAAAACACTTGTCTGCAGATAGAAAATATACATGTAGGTATTTTCAAATTAAATACAGACATTTTCCAATAGGCAAAGATTTGATTTTTTCTAATGATTTATAAATGCAAACTCTCTGAGGTGACTACAGCTCTACTGGTTTGTACTTATAACAAAGGAAGAAAAAAGTAGCACTTGGAATTGAAACTTTGTAACAGCAATACATAGAATAATGATTCTTGGTTTACTCTCTTTTTGTGGTAAGATTTATTGCAATCCGACTAAAACTGTAGGAGGAGTAGCATTTTGAAAGAATTTTACAAAAATTTCTATTTTTAGTAACCATGGCAACATTGTTCATCAACATCAAAAACGATAAAGACAGTTAGGTATCTAAGTGTAGTCTACTTGCATGCCATTACTTATAGAAAATTCTATTTTTAGTAACCATGGCAACACTTCACCAACAAGATATATATCACAGATCACTTCCGGTGTCATTTTATGCTAATAAACTTTGGTATCTTAGGCATGATTAAAGGAAATTCAATTTTCCTAAAAATGTAAATTTTGTGTTCTTTTATGAGGGCTATTCCAGGAAAAACTGTATGGGGGGGTTGGAAGGCACTTTTATTTTTACCCCACCACCCATACATTTTTAATTACCTTCTACCCCACCCCCCATCAATTTAAAATTGCGTTTGATACAACCACTCATCTAAATTAAAAAAAAAAATTGTGTCACATATATATAAGCAATAAAATTTTATGTACCTTTTTCAGGTACTGTAATTTATCTGACTTCGAATGAGTGTTGGGTTTTGACATCTATCCAACCAAGGCCCGTTTTACAAAAGAACTTATGACTAAAATCAAAATGTTATTATGCAGATAATTTTTTTTGGCATTACTTTAAAAATGTTTTAAATCTTTTTGAAAAAAAAAATAGTTTTATGCCAACAATTTTTAACAGAAACATAAGTTTTGTAAGATTGGGGGGGGGGGGGGGGGGGGACTAAACTTCTGTAGGCAGTGTCTGTGAAGTGAAAACTTTGATTAAAAAAATATATTTAATGAATTCTAAATCCCATCTAACAACTTAGACCATTGGTGCATACAAGTTCGACAAGTTAACACTTAACAGGTTAACATGGTTAAGGACTGGCATGTTTTTGACATAATATACTTCATTTTGTTTTCAAACTTATCTTCCTTTTACTCTGTATGTGGTATAAAGTAAAATATTTGACTTGCAAACTCCGTAGTCATGGTCTAAAACGTTCATTATCAGAAACGATTTTTTTTTCTACTTTCGGTTTAAAATAAAACGATCTTTCTGATTGTTTCTAATATCATTTAATTTACCAATGTAATCATGTTTGATTAAACCGGCGAAAAGAAACTGGACCAGGGAGTCCAACGCACAACTAATCCGTTTTCCAATCACCCACTGTCATTGCAGTCACAGTTGCACATGCTTTTATAGTTATCTGCCCTTGTTTCCGTTTCGTTCGATTCTACTTTCACTTTCAATGTAAACACACTTTACAACTGTTTAGGACGAAAATATCAGTATTTACCGATTTATACAAAATGAGAGGAAAGAAGTACTTTGCACTTGATTATTTGTGAGGGTTAATACAACCACCCATCTAAAAATATATCGAGTAAGGACAACCACCCATACAAATTCAATTGCTCCAGACCCACTACCCATACAAAAATATATGAAGTGCCGTCCAACCCTCCCGTACATTTTTTGCTGGAATAGCCCTGAGGTGTAATGTCCATTTTTTTTTTTTTACAAGACCATTCCTAGGACTTCAAAGAACCTTTAAACAAATTATCAAGATGCAGGAAATGAAAGTTGTTGCACTAAAAAAAATCAAATTTCAAGTTTCATTTTGAGACTTATTCAATTAAACAGTAATTTTAAGAGTTATTGTTTCTGAGTGAGGAGCAGGTGTCCTTAAAAAGAAATCGATTGCTTGGTTTTTTTAAATCAGGAAAATACCTGGAGGTCCTGGATTTCCCCCTTCATGCATGTAAGCATCATAAATATCCCTTGGAGGGCCTCTCATCTGCTCATAATGTCTCTTGGATCCTACAAAGAAATTACATGTACCTATGAATGTATCTATAAAACAACCCAAATCAGACAACACTCTGCAAAAAGCATATCACAACCAGATTACTATACTGAAAGTTGGTTTAAACAATTCTTGAAAAAAAACTATTGCTGACACATTAGCATTGTCCAGTCTTAATCTCACATACAGAAAATCCTGCTTCAATTTAATATACTGTATACAGGGATATTTTCATCCCCATTTTATTTTCGCCCCTTTCGTCCTAATCACAGGTGGGTGAATTTAAAACGGGGCAAATTCAAGGAACACAGTATAATTTCTTTAACAGAATTGTGACTGGGCGAATTTAAAACTGGGCAAAATAGTTAGCAAGAGTGAAAGGGCAAAAATAATACGGGGCGAAAATAACCCTGTATACAGTATATTCTGCCTCAAAAGTAGCTGGCTCACAGACAAACGTATAGTACTGGATTACCTGAAGAATGTATGATGCATAGTTGCATACTACATGTACCTCTGTTAGACATGTAGACTCAATTACCCAGAGTGTACAATTTTACTGGTATAGGAACCCAAGTCAAATAAGTAAAGCATTAGTTTCCTGGAAATCCAATAGTTAGATAGAAGTAAACTTCCTGGAAATCTGTCAGCCTAAATAATCAGATAGAAGCAAACTTCCTGGAAATCTGCCAGCCTAAATAGTCAGATAGACGTAAACTTCCTGGAAATCTGCAAGCTAAATAGTCAGATAGAAGTTAACTTCCTGGAAATCTGCAAGCCTAAATAGTCAGATAAAAGTAAACTTCCTGGAAATCTACAAGCCTAAATAGTCAGATAGAAGTTAACTTCCTGGAAATCTGCAAGCCTAAATAGTCAGATAAAAGTAAACTTCCTGGAAATCTACAAGCCTAAATAGTCAGATAAAAGTAAACTTCCTAGAATTCTCCAAGCCTAAATAGTCAGATATAAGTAAACGCTCAGTCTCATAGACAGATATTGATAAACTCTCTGGGAATCTCCAAGTCTGTAAGTCGGATATTGATAAATTCTCTGAGTCTATAAGTCAGATATTGATAAACTCTCTGAGTCTGTAAGTCAGATATTGATAAATTCTCTGGGAATCTTGAGTCTACAAGTCTGATATTGATAAACTCTCTGGGAATCTTTGAGTCTGTAAGTCAGATATTGATAAACTCTCTGGGAATCTTTGAGTCTGTAAGTCAGATATTGATAAACTCTCTGGGAATCTTTGAGTCTGTAAGTCAGATATTGATAAACTCTCTAGGAATCTCTGAGTCTGTAAGTCAGATATTGATAAACTCTCTGGGAATCTTTGAGTCTGTAAGTCAGATATTGATAAACTCTCTGGGAATCTTTGAGTCTGTAAGTCAGATTTTGATAAACTCTCTGGGAATCTTGAGTCTACAAGTCTGATATTGATAAAATCTCTGGGAATCTCTGAGTCTGTAAGTCAGATATTGATAAACTCTCTTGGAATCTCGAGTCTACAAGTCTGATATTGATAAACTCTCTGGGAATCTCTGAGTCTATAAGTCAGATATTGATAAACTCTCTGAGTCTGTAAGTCAGATATTGATAAACTCTCTTGGAATCTCGAGTCTACAAGTCAGATATTGATAAACTCTCTGGGAATCTCCGAGTCTGATAATACTGTACACTTACCTCTGTCTCTGCTGTCATAGTCATTGTATCCGCCCCCAAATCTGTTCATCTCCCTGTCAAACCCTCCTCCGTACCCTCCCATAGGATCAAAATCCCGATCTCTCTCTCTCCTCTCAGAGTTTTTGGGATCAGCAAACTTTGGCTTAAATGCTACAGCAAATATACAAGGGTTAATAAGAAAAAAAAATTCTGTAAACTTTTTTAGAGTGCTGAACAAATAACAGTCGTCAGTCATGCTAGTATCTGCTACTCTTGCACATATAATTTACTCTTTGTGTCCAAATAAATCAATCTGTATCCTTAAAGCCTTCAAGCAAGTTGAAAAACAAAAAACTGATCTCCAGGCTACTAAGGGCAAATACTGTATAACAAGTCCATCATCAGATTTTTTTCCAAGAAAATGAACAAAGAAAAAGTTTATATTAGACATATCATCCTGTTCTTGTTCAACTGTTTTCTTTGTAACTTACAAGGGTCACTTATTTTCTTTGTAACATACAAGGGTCACTTATTTTCTTTGTAATTTACAAGGGTCATTTATTTTCTGTGTAACTTACAAGGGTCACTTATTCTCTTTGTAACTTACAAGGGTCATTTATTTTCTGTGTAACTTACAAGGGTCACTCGTTTTCTTTATAACTTACAAGGGTCATTTATTTTCTTTGCAACTTACAAGGGTCACTCGTTTTCTTTGTAACTTACAAGGGTCACAGTTTTCAAATGCCAGGGCTGCGTGGTATGGTCGATGAAAGCGGATGTATCCAAAGCCCTTTCTTTCTCCTGTGTGTTTGTCAGAAACGATCATCACTGAGTCAATGTCCCCATATTTCTATAAATAGAGATAAAATTGTTTACAAAGAATGTTGCCTTACTTCTGTTTAAATTATTCAAAATTATTTAAATGATTCATATGTAATGAAGAAGCAAACATTTTTGCTTATCATATTAATCGTACATGACCCTGAACCAGAAACATATACATTGCAAAACATCCAATTACAGAAGCAAAACATTCCTTTCTTGTAGATTCCTTACATGTATTTTTATGTGTACTTAATATTGCAAAATGATTCTTAGATCTCAAATCATGAGAACATTAATTTGCAAATGGACTGCTTATGAAGAATTTTTACATACAATATAAAATATTGCAAGTTTATTTTGCAAGTGGTTTTTCCCAAAAATTACACGATAAAAAAAAATTCCCTGTGTATATTTAGGAATCAACAATACTATTTTTTTTCCATAAAACATGTTAATTTTACCTCAAACTCTTTCTTGAGGTCATCTTTGCTGTAAGTTTTGGGGCAGATTACAAAGAGGCGGAGATTTTTCTCATCCTCCCTGGGATCTCGGACTGCTCCCTCTCTCTTGCTGCTGGCAATTATTACCTGTAAATGCAAACCATTCTGTTTAAAGCTGTATTTCATGTTTCAAGGTCAAATAAACTTTGTCCCATCACTCTTTCTCACAGAGGTGAAAAATTACAGAGAGCTTCCAAGATAATATCTATATATTAAAAACAAAATTTTACTTTAGCTGTAAATTCCTGTCAATAACCATAACTGAGTAACAAATCAACAAAAAATATCTTGTCTTATAAATCTAGATTCATATAAATACTTTTTTTTATTTGAATTTTGAGAATTCCACAATTTGAATATATATATATATATATATATATATATATATATATATATATATATATATATATATATATATATATATATATATATATAATAAATATATATATATAGGTGACCTTAAGTGGTTTTGGGTGTCCTGGCAGGGTTTTCATGTTCATTTCCTCCAATGCAAGAGCTGCCTCAGACGCCTTGGAATACTTGATGTAAACGACACCTAAACAGGACCATAGGAAGAATAATTAATTATACATTGAAGAAAAAAAAAAACAGTAAAATGTTCAGTGCTTATTGTGTAGACTACATGATTCGATTTACTGATTCTTCTTATTTCCCTTGGTATCAATCGATTTTTAACTTTATTTACTTTTAAGAATTATTTCAAAATCTTTAGAGATTCAAATAGTTTGTCATCTTCACACACTTAATGTAAAGATACAAATAAAAAGCATCTTGTTCATGTTTATACAGAAATACGCCGTCAGGCTTTTTTTTTCTTTAAAACCGAAAATAGACCAGACCTTTGTCCTCATTTGTTTTTCTGTCTTTCACGACCCATATGTCTTCTACAGTCCCAAACTTATCAAAAGCTTCTTTGAATTCTTCTTCTTTGATTCCTTTACCGCATAAAATAAATAATCTACTGTTTGGAGGCTTAACATCCTCTTGTAACTCCCTGTGTCTCTTATCATGCGGTCTGTGCGCCATCTTTAATATTTTGAACGAAACGGATAGTGTTGTAGTAAATCGAGCATGAAATGTTTCGTGCTAATGTTAACACCCCCCCCCCTTTAATAGCTATTCCTGTAATATAACCACAGAAAGTGTAGGTCGTACACGTAGAATGAAGGGTACAGGGACTGGCTTCGGGGCCTCACCCTTTTCCGAAAATAATATTCTGCTGTTGATTATATTTGATTATTTTTTCTTTCTTTAATTTTTTTTTTGGAGGGGGGGGGGCTTTGTTTTGTTTTTGCTTTTCACTTAAATATATCTTGTCCATTATATTTTCTGCTACCCCCTTTCCACTTTGAAGAACATTACAGGCATTTTGAGGAGGATAGCGTTGTTTTGTTTGTTTGTTTGTGTTTTTTTGGGGTTGTTGTTGTTTTTAAATATTTATCATTTTAATTATATATAATTCAGAACACACTTTAATAAAGTATAACATATCAATTAGAAAACATTGATTTATCACAGCAACATTTTTAAATCTGATGTGTGACTATATCAAAGTATCGGAAATGTGTCAACATGGTCAAGAGTGTACGAGGACCGAGTCTCCATTGGTTGGTCCATCCATCCATCCATCCATACGTTAAAGGGGTACGTGGGAGTTAACGTTCAGTCTCTTTTCAAAATTCAGTGTATATATTTATATTAAAAAATTCTTTTCAGACGTAGTGACGAAGAGACGTAAAATAACTTCAAGAACCATACATGAACATGTATTTAAGTCATTGCTTTCTTTTTAGCTTATGTCCCTCTGCCTAAAAAGGTTTTTATCCACAAACAAAATGTTCTACATGTATCAGTTTTTATAATCCTCTGCATGTAAGAGGGTTAACCCATCCCTTGACTGTTTTCAGTGCTTCTTACAGTATTTTCATGGAAATAAAATCTGATTATAAATATATCGGACTGTCATTAAATCTTGAGTTGAAAATAATTACATGAAAAATTTAACATGATATCAGTTTTAACTTTACATTGAAAATTAATAAAGACACTGTGTAAGTCGATTTTGGTAAATGTAATGATTTTTAAATATGTAATTTAAGGAGATAATCTATTGACCTTTTTTTTATACAGGAGACTATCCAATATATATTTATTATGAGTAGGGCTGCGCAATAATATCGATATTCCGGTATATTGCGATTCGTTACCAAAAAATATCGTATTGCGATACTTTTTTCCAATACCGATATACCGGCAAAATGATTTGGGCTTTAGATTTATGAAGTAAAATATGAAATTTAAAAGATGTCTGAAACGTTTTCAATTGTGCCAAACAGTACCAAATGGTAAAGGTTTCTGTTGTATGGTTGCATTTTGTTGCCAAACTGTAGTGAAATCAACTAGAACTTTTTTGTTACAACGTATCTATAAAAGTTTTATACATTCTGCTTATAAATGCATGGAGGTTAATAGAATAAGAAAAGAGTATTTTAACTGTTATTAAAAATATTGCAATACATATCGCAATACAGTTCCAAATATCGCAATATATCGCAATACGAAATTTCCAACCAATACCCAGTCCTACTACTTAATAAGTAAATTAATGAGGAACAATTTATAGTCATACATGCAAGATAAGTAGTTAATAACCCCGAAATAAGCCCTTAAACCTCAAGTTTCTCTTTTTTTCTCTACAATTTAGATCTGGACTTTGTTGTGAAATTAGTACTGTCTCCTGCCACCTTTTACATTTCCAAATTTTACGGAAATTAATTAACCATTTTGGATATAGAAAGTACACGAAATGATTAGAAAAACGAAACCATACGTTCAATATCGATTCACCGACCTTAACATGCTGTTGGAAAGTGCTTATAAACATTGGATCTTCCTGTAGCAGAAAAATGAAATGACTCGTATTATTCATTTAACATTTAACCCAACTTTTTTTTAAATATCCTCATTCAGACTGCCAGTAACCCAGAACTAACATTTCTCCAAATTTAATGGAGTCCATACCCTATTAGTGGTTGTTATTCAACGCAACCTACCACATGCAAGGATCCAGGAATTTTTCGTTGGGATGGGGGTGGTTCACCCAATTTAAAAAAAAAATCGATCCGAAATTTTTGGACAATTAAACAAGAAAGACAAGTAAAACCTAACAACTTGTCGAAACCTGAAAAAAAATCTGTTTTGTCGTTGGGGTGGAACAAAACGTTTTCCTTCACTTCGTAAATAGTATACATATTTCTCTCATTGCCAACTTACTAGGGGTTTGCGGACCAAGACTTATTCTAAAATTAATTATATATTTTTGCACCGGTCCCATCATAGAGATAAATATTGCCTGGTTCGAGTTCCTAGGGCTCAATCCAATGATGAGTATCCAGGTTTACCGTATATACCTTCGGCTTTGTTTCCCACAGTTTCAATACCGTCTTGGTCAAACCATAGAATGAGATGATGATTCCTAAATATACCTTATCATTATGAAAATCAGATTCATTATTAAATATCCTCGTTAGAATGTAGAATAAATCAGCAGTAAATAATGTAAAACAACGTGTCGCGCGCTATATTATGTATTAATGTTGCTAATAACACCACATGATGATCATTAATTATTGTTGACAGTTCGTGGATAATTTGAATAAATTAAATTTATATATACGCTGTTTTTATGGCTATCGTAGGTAAAAAAAATTATATATATATATATATATATATATATATTGTATCAATATTGTAAAAAAAAAACAAAACAAAACAAAACAAAACAAAACAAAACAAACAAAAAAAAAAAAAAAAAAAAACAAAAACAAAAACAAAACAACCCCCCCCCCCAAATCTCAGAGATAAAGTGGGTGGGGAAGTCGGGGGGGGGGGGGGTTAGGGAATAAAAGTGATAAACCTAAATATGAATTTTCAATTATAGAATTCGATCAAGATAGTGGTAAAGGAGGTTACACTGAGATGTGTATGCCAGATATTTCTCACTGGGGGCATATACGTTTTCGTGAAGTCCCCCATGTAAATCCTTTATTTGTGATAAATATTTTCGATGCATGCATAGCAGGGACGTAGCATTGTTTTTTAACTTGAAGGAGGGAAGGGGGTTAAAAACATTTAGTCCTGAAAGAACTTTGGCAAGATCAAAAAAAGAAAGAAAACATTCCAATGTGTGAGTAGGGGGAGGGCAAAAAATTAGGGTGGGATGGAGCCTTTAAAAAATTCATACTGATTTAAGAGCAAGAGTTTTCGCGGAAAAAGTGTGTGGGGAGGGGGAGGGGGGGTGGCCCGACTCATGCATGTTCTCTGCCTTGATTCTAGGTTCCTGGATCTAGTAATTTTCAACAAAGTATTCATCAGGGAATTCAAATGTATTTTTTTTATTTCCATATCAACTCCCAAATTTCATTTTACGAAGCATACGTATAAAGAATGTGCATCCAGTTTATGTTCTCTACTATATACATTCTTCATGATGCAGCATAATGATATATCTATATACTTATTTACTGCGTCATTTGAAATTTAAATCAGGTCCCAACATTCATCACATCTTGATACCTTTTTAACCACACACATTAATTTAATTCAATTAGGGGGAAAAAAGCTAATTAGATGTATAAAATGTATAAATGTAAGATGTACAGAGTAAAAAAAAAATCTTTGAAACCAAGTATAGTTACGCAAGCAAAGTGAATAAACGCAGTGCTTTGATTTACAATCCAGATATTCATGATATTTTGTAGCAATTTAAAGTTTGTCGATCAGAGAAATACAAATATATAACTTAATTCTTATCTGTTTGTTCTTTTTTGCATGTACTTCTTTTCAAGTTATTTGTTTTCCTTACATTTTTTTGTTACATCCTAGCTTTCAAAGATAGAACATTCGTTTCTACTTAAAACATGTATATTATTTGTCAACGTGAGAATTTTGAAACAAAACGTACCCCCACCCCCAGTGGCCACCCTCCCCCCCCCCCCCCCCAAATGCATAACAAATGCCAAACAACCTTTTCACTAGACCGACCTCTTTTTTTCGTCTCTTTATCGTTGTAAGTAATATGAATCTACTTTTATATGTCCGGAAACACGTAAAAATTTCAGTACAGTCTTCAAATACGAAATGTAATGGATCGTGTTGTCTAAATTCGAAATCGTCATTTCCGGTGTCGGTGTCACCAATTTGTGAGACGTGGATGCATTGAGAGTTAAAAATCAAATTCTGTGTGTATTCCAGCTGTTGTTTATTGATTGGAGGTGCAAATTTCCCGCGGAAAGTATCATACTGGACAATCAACAGGACGCAAAGCTTATAGGCATCCTGAAAACTTGCTGCAGATTTCATTTTTTATCGATCTCTCCAAAACCAGCCTGACATAAATTTCGGCTGATTGACTCGAGTGACAAGTGTGTCGCATTGAAAATGTACGCGTGTTGTCATTAATGGTCGTGAGCGATAAAATCAGTCATGGAAGAGTGAATGGTGACGATTGAAAAAATGTGAGTCAATTTTACTGAATTTTGTAAAGTGAAATTATTAACCAAGCAGGAAGAAAAAATGGTTTGAAGAATAAATCGTGATAAATATTTAGACTGGGATATTTAGTTAAATGGGTTTCTCTTTTTGCATATTGAATAACGCATGAATAAAACTATTTATAAGTCACTTGATATGACTTGTGACCTGATTATGATGAGTCTTAGCACTGTAATTAATTTAGTTAAACTTAAGGCAGTTTAATCAGTATAATTGTCACTTCATGCAAACATGTATCCAATATTCAAATAGTCAAATGATGAGATTCAGATGTGGTTGTCATTGAGACAGAATAAAAAAGCTAAACTCTCTACAGAATTGGTTACAAAACTTGTCCTAGTACTTTAAAGTTTTCTTTCTTACTTAAATATGTACAAAGAAAATAGCTATGAGGAGTACATATGACAGATTGAGAAAGAGTGATATAATTTTGTAGATTATGTTCCAGATGTATCATTTAATTAATTGCATGTATTTAAGTCCTTGTCAAAACTTTTTTGTACTACTGGCTCATAAAACATGCCAGTTAATGAAAACTGCAGGCTTCTAGGAATTCTGGAGGCCCACACTTTTTCTGTACATTTAGAAATATCAGAAAATATATTCCTATTGAATTTGTTCACCCTATGTACCTGTTTGCCTGAGTCTGTTTGCCTTGAAACTCGTTTGCCAATGTAATGGATAGCGGCAATAACTGTTCGCCCTATTATCATGATTATGAATTCGATGCGAATTTTTAAGTAGGTTCTCATTTATTTTATATTTAATCTTCATTAATAGTTGAACGATTTGTATTTCCTTTCAATTGAAAAATTGACATTATTTCCGATATAAATGTTTGTCAAAAATTTTTTAAATGGTTTTATTGTTATTTTTTTAATGCTGTGAATTAGGGATCAAACACCTTTTTTTGGTTTTTCTTACCAATTTGCGTTTTGATATCCATATTGAGGCGTTTACTTACAGAGTCAATAAAAAATAAGAAATGTAACTATTTCAGATTTATAGGACATCAATTTTTGCATTATACCTTTGAATGATATACATTTCTGTAGTAACATCTTTTAAATTTAACCATTTTATGCATGCATGAAAATGATCTCAACATTTTTTTGTTCATTAAATAAGCATGGATGTTTTGATTATTCATACAATACAGGGTTCAAAAGAAATAATGCCATTTACATGTTAGACAATAAAATGAAATATGATTGTGAAAATTAACAGTCTAACATATTTAAAAATATAATAAGGCAAACAGTCTTAGGGTGAACAATAATTAGGGCTAACAGAGTCATGGCAAATGAGCACTAGAGCTAACGGTGTCAAGTGCTAGCACGTTTTAGCATGTTTAGGGCAAATGAACATACATCCTTTTCTTAGCTATTGGTCTGTTTTTCTGTTTTGTAATTCATTATTAGTTATTCCCAGTAAAGATCAACTTTTAAATTTTGGTAAACACTAAATCTAACCAAAGTAAATTCGGGTAGAGCAGTGATTAGAAGTGCTGTTCAAATCATCGATTATAGGGCTGTCACGGTTCCAAAATTTTTCGGGTCGGGTCGGTTCTGTAAATTTTCGGTTCGGTTTCGGGTTTTTCGGGTCTGGTATTTACATCTATTTTAAACCTTAATTTCATGAATTTAACTTAAAAAATCTTTATTTGTTACAATAAATTTACATTGAAAACAAGTCTTAACCATGCGAACGTCAAGACATCGGTGACTTGGCCTACTGTTAGCCACAACCTGACCATTCCTGCTCGTTTTGATAATTATCTAATACTTCCGTGACAAGTGTTTTGTCATGGGATGAAGTAGATTTCAGTTGTGCAGTCTATGCGAAAGTCTAAAATTTTTACAGGACATACGGTCTGGTAAAAATATATATTTTACCAGACCAAGAATTCACTTACCAGACCGACCTTTTTCTTTAAATTCATACATCATTATGATACAGGAGATTGAAAAAGGGGGGGGGTGTATTCTCACTGTTAAATTGAACCTTAAATAGATCCAGAGTTGAGATTATTTAAAAAAAATGATTTAATTGAAATGAACAAACTTATTATTGTTTCCTTTTTAAAAGGTAGTACATATGACAAATGCATACAATTTTCTCTTTTTCTGGTTATTTGACACATACAAACGAAGTATACAATGTCAAAGATTTTTTTTCTAAAACTTAAAATGCACTTTAAAATATATTTATTTATTTCCTGAAGTAACTCATAATAGTTACTCTTGTTTAATAATGAAAATAATCTACCCAACCGAATCTACATATGTGCTATCTATAGATCTATATTCCATGACAGAGGAAATTCGAATTAGAAATAACTGATCATGACAGGGTTGATATAGATTAAAATTAATCATGCATCACTGCTAAATGGATCGAATAAAGGATATGTGTGGAAAATAAGACCATATGAACATGTAAATTCAGATTTTTAGGCCTATTTTTTCATCGGACATTTGGTCCTGTATCCTGAATTTTTTTACCGACCCGAACCAAATTTTACCGGTAAAAACCGACGGTCCGGTGACTTTGGCACAGACTGGTTGTGATGTTTATTTATCACTGTTATCGTCATCATTCCTTTGATTTGGACGCCGTTTTTTGTATTGAACAGACTCATATGTATATAAACCAGACCCGAACCGAAATTTAGAAAAATGGAACCGGAACCGAACTGAACAACTTGGACCGCGGTTCTCGGTTATTTCGGGTACTCGTGACAGCCCTAATCGATTATAATCGAAAATCAGTCGATTGCTGGCATAATCCAACATCATGTTGATCCAAGCGCTCAATTACAAAATTTTTATTCTGATTAATCACTTTATTACTTTCTTTATTTTATGAGCGTAATCATAGTTTTGTAAGCCAAATATTCCAGCTGCGACTTATCTATTAACTTATTTGTGTATCGTAATGGCGCAGACAAACATACAAGTTGTATCTATTCCAGGTAAACAGATACACACTCAATATAGCATTCCGATGATATCCATTCATTATTTTTAGCAAAATAAAAACAAATACATATGCAGAAAGTAGTTAATTAACTAAATTGATGGACTTTGTAAATGTCTGATTATAATCGACAATTAGCTAGATACAGTAACCTGATCATCGATTATGAAATTCTTACTGACTCCCATCACTAGTGATTAGTGCACTCGCCTCGCACTGCTGTGACCCGAGTTCAATCCCTGTGACTGGCAGTGGTTTTATGTGAGAGGGTAAGGTTGTTGCCTGCTTTGACACATGGGTTTTCTCCGGGTACTCCAATTTCTTTCCACAAAAATGATCCCTTAGTGCCAAAATGTATGCAATAAAACACCATTGGAAATAAGCTTTTGAGCTTTCATGGGCTATCTTTGGTATTAACTATTATATGTTTGTAATGTATTATGCATATATATACTAAATATACATTTATTTATTTTTTACCCTTGCCCAATTTGTCTATTTATCCTGCCTAGGTATGTCCTTTTTTTATTGTTTAAATGCTTTGATCATGTTGATAAACAAAAAAAAAGGACATTACTTACTAACTTGACTAATAGATAATATCTAAGTGTAGAAGACATGATGACAATTTTATCATTGAGGGATCTTGAATTTAATATTTTTTTATGATACTTTCAGGATGTGAATTTTTCTGCCAAATTTGTTGGGACATTTCAAGTAAAACAGGATGGTCAGTCGAGCCCGCCTCCATTACTGCAAGATTATTCTGGCCACCTCACTGGTCTGGTTTCTGCTGGATGTCTTCATCCTAATGTACTTCACTGACTGTGCGGCTAACAGTGCCAACACAAACTGTAAGGAAACTGGAGGAGGGGGAGGAGAACCAAAGAAAAAGTCTGACGGTGGGGGAGGGGGAATTCTTGACAGAATCCTGCCAAAAGGTAATAGCATTTAGAGTTAATGACTTGTTTTATTTGGTAAAAATGTTTTCTTATAATAAGCAATGTTGCAGATGATACAATCCATATACTTTAGAATCATCATTGTTCGCGAGGGACCAATGTTTGTGGATTTTGTGGGTCACCTCAACCTAGCTGCTGAACTGTAGTGTTATGGTTTTTACATTTTAGTCTTTGACCATTACACTACAGATCCTGTAATGCAAGTAAAGTGCAATTTATGGCGCAAGATTTTCTGTGCACGGTTGGGGATGTATTTCTCCACCTTCCAGCATTGGTCAATCAACTACCTTTCATTCCTTAATTCTAGACATATTCTATTACCAACCTGTATATTTTATCCACCTCCTAACCCTTCATAGTCTTCTCTACAGACTAGTAAATTCACTTGTTATGAATTTTCTGTCTTCCGACGGCCTTGTTGTCATACTGACAATATCCTGCTAAGATGTCGGTAGATACACCTATAAAGGGTTAGGAGGTGGATAAAATATACAGGTTGGTAATTCAATATGTCTAGAATTAAGGAATGAAAGATAGTTGATTGACTAATGCTGGAAAGTAGAGAAATACATCCCCAACTTTGTGCCAAAAATCTTAATCCGTAAATTGCACTTTAAGTTTAATTGCATTTCGGGATCTATAGCGTTATGGTCAAAGACTAAAATGAAAGACCATAATGCTGCAATTCTGCAGCTAACCCCATCCCACAAGTAGACATCCCCAGGAATGACTATTTTGTCTACCTTCATATCTCTTTAAATCTCTTGATCAAAAGTTTACCACGAAATTACATTCCCCACAAACCAGTAAAATTTTGCTAACCCCCCAAACATTGACCCCCACAAATTGAAATGATTCCACAGTATCAGTAACTGTAACAGTTGTTTTCAAGGCAGAAGTGTACTAACAAACATCTAGTGTGTAAAGGCTGACACTAGTGCATAAATGTAACATATATAAGATAGTTCATTTGCTTAATTACCAATGTAATTTACATATGAACATGATTAAGTAGATTAATGAATATGGATAAAACATTATATTCTGATAGAAATTCTTAGCTAAGACTTGAACAAGATGTTTGCGATAATCATTCAACTTTAAATTTAAGTTTTTATGGACTTCCTTCACATGTAGAATTTAATATTTTTAAACGTGTGCCAGTTGCAGCTAACAACTGTTTGGGTGTGGGGATGGGGGGATGTCCTTTCATATCATCAAGTTATAAAGTAAAATCAAATTTTAAAATGGTGCACACTGGCTTTAAATTTAACTTCATATTTGTTAATCAAAAACAAATTACACAAAATATACTGAAAATATTTATCCATGTATATACATATCTTGTAGTTAAATAATTTTATAAGATTTATGTCAATATGTGTAACATTCAAAATATGGAGAAGGTTAAGGGTTGTTTGATTTCTGACCATTAACTCTCTTTTTCTGCTTTACAGAAGTAATGCTTTTATAGATTGGCCATTTTATTGATAAAATGATAAAACTATGATTGTGAGTGCTATGTATTTGGAATTGTCATATTTGACGTCACTTGGTGCTTGGGGGCTACACATTCTATAACTTTTTGCCTTCGATATCGACTTAATACTACAAATGTATTATGTTCTTTGAATGTGAAACTACAATTTATATTATTTATTTATTTGAATGTGAAACTACAACTTATATTATTTATTTATTTATATGTTGAAAAACACGTGAAATAGGTTGGTTCTTTGTAAATATTTATCCCCTTGGGATCTAATGCGTGGATCTGAAGAGTTCTTTTCAGTCATCATGATCATGTTAATTTAATGTCAACATTTTGGTAGAGTGATAATGAAACATTAAGCTTAAGTTAAATTGGGGAATTCTGGGGCTGTGTAATATACTTTAAAATATGTAACAATGGTTCTAATGTGATAAAATACATTAACATGTACAGGCCTTATTGGCTGTTCGAAAAAATGTAGCTATTGAAAAAGTACATATATACATATTTAGAACTATCATTGATAGTTTAAATAATTGAAATATATGTTAATGAAATTGCTGTTGACTGTTACATACTGTTAATTACAGAAGAATTGGAAGGAAACGAAGGGAAAATAATTATACCCGAACCTGACTTTAAATATATTCCGACACCCAAACCTAATCGCAAACTACCGAATAGGAACTCACACGATAAAGGTTGTAGAAGTCTTCTTAATTCTGGCAGGTGGATGAGAAATTATTATTTCTATTGTCCCTGGTGAATGGGTTATCCCCCTTTACCCTGACATTTGGTGTATACCGGTACATATGTACTTATTTTATCAAGTCATTGTGGAGGGTAAAATATAAAGATGATGCAGTGAGAACTGCTGAATACAACAGCTGACTGCTAGCTGCCAACAAAATGATCAAGCAGAGCTGATAACTAATAATCAAAACATTTTTTTTCTCTATATTGTCAAGCATTGATTTATGATGAATGTATCGAAGAATTATACAAAAGATCACCGACTTTTAATAGCTTGGAATTGGTTCAAAATCTGGCGACTTTTTATGATGATCTAGGTACTAAACTTTTGAGAGAAAGCATACTGTAAACCTTATTTGACATTTTTAATTTGCTAATCACCAACAGATAACTATCACACAACAATTAAATTTTGCAGTTGAGCTTTCCTGTTTCTAAAACATGTCATAGCAATTTAATCATGTTAATGATTGGAGAGGATTAGTACCGTATCCACAACTTGAGTTGCTTGCAAATCTTGCAGGTATTTCTTGCAGGTGTATAGAAGCTGGTTTGCAGTATGTTATATACTAATGATGGAAGGCTATCAACATAATTTTGTATTGCCTATGGCATATGCTTATGAAATGATGGAAAAGTGCCACTTGATAAAACATAGATCAATTTATCCTATTATGTTAAAAAGGCAGCATTTACTGCGATGCTTCTTTTCCATTCAATGGTTGTATAATAAAACTCTGCAATCAGTGATAACAAAACAAAAAAAAAAATCATCATTAACCTTTTATAAATGTATTGATCAATGAATTCTAATTTAGACAAGGGATAATTTTTTCTGTACTCAGATTTGGATTGGAGAAATGTTTTTTTTATCTAGGCCAGAGCTTTGGTGATTTATGTACACATACATATTGTAGTTGCTGTATTTTTGTGATGTATTTCTAGGTATCATTCAGCGAGTTCCTACTGGTCCCGGAGAGATGGGAAAACCTGTGGCGGTCCCCTCTGATAAACAGAAGGAGGCTAAGGAGAAATTCAAAATTAACCAGTTTAATCTGGTGGCCAGTGAGATGATCTCTCTGAACCGGTCACTACCAGACTACCGAATGGATGCGTAAGGCTTTTACCTATATTTTTAGCTTACCTGAGCGGCTGAGCCTTTCAGCCAAAGGCTCAAGTGAGTTTTCTGATCATAATATGTCTGTTGTCATTGTTATTGTAAACTTTTTTACAGTATTTCATCTTCTTCCCCAGAACCACTGGACCAATTTCAACCAAACTGCCACAGAGTACCCTTGGGTAAAAGGGATGCAAGTTTGTTCAAATGAAGGACCATGCCCTCTTCCAAGGGGAGATAATTAAGAAAAAGTAAAAATTGGATGAGGTTATTTAAAAAACCTTTTCAAGAACCAATGGGCTAGAAAAGAACATTGATATCTTGAATGCCATGGATATGTGGAAGTGATTTTAAAGTCCAGATTTTTTCTTCACAGTTTGTTTTTGAACCTCTACATCTCAAATCCTCGGATATCGGATAATCTCTATGTTTTTTTTCTCGACCTGATTAATTTGAATAGATCAAGTTATCCAGGTTTAGCTGTATGCAGCACTAGACATTTTAGATGAAAGTATGTGTTTGTATTTCTGTTTGAATATAGAATTTTCAATATCTCCTGAGTATTGTATACACATTTTAACAAAAAAGTATTTAGAGTCTGGACAGTTATTCTTGTTAATCATAAGCACCTCAATTTCACTGGCTCAGACTTGATAGATGTATCACTGTTTTGTTTTTTCATATAAGTGTAAAGTCCGTTAGATTTGATAGCAGTCATATGTTTTTTAGGTAACATTACACTGGCATTAAGTCTGAGGATAGGGGAGTATTGATTAGACAGAATAACGTCTTGTTGTAGAAACTGGGGTTTATGGTTTTTTATGGGTAAAGAAGTTGTTGTTATCATGGATAAAAACTAAATATCCTTTCAAGAATTGAACCTTACATCCAGCATTCATCCAGGATGTAGTCTAAAATTTCAACTAGAGATACGTGTCCCAAGAGACTATATTTTTAAAGGAGAATTATAATAAACTGACTAGACAAGATATTTTACGATATACTTTTGCCATTAACCAAAATCAAAGGGTATAATTTTCTGTCCATTCAGAATGATTTACTTTATTTTCTTTTTCAGTATCTTTATAGAAGAATTGTCCAAAGTAATCTTTTCAGAAACAGGCATTGAAATTGTACGTCTGCTTTTTTCAGTTGTAAAAGAAAACAGTATCCGCCTAATTCTGAGCTTCCCGACACCAGTGTAGTAATCGTATTCCATAACGAAGCCTGGACCACGCTACTTAGGACTGTTCATAGTATAATAAACCGATCACCTAGAGAATTACTTAAAGAAATCCTGCTTGTGGATGACGCCAGCGAGAGAGGTATTTATTGAATGCAGGGCTGTCATAGATGCATTTAACTACCATGCAATTTTAAGATTTCTATTAAAGAATTATTTGTGAAATCAGGAAATCTGAATGAATTGTTTATGATTTAAAATGTGAGCATTGAAATGAAGCTTTGTATGATATGTTTTCTAAAAAGTTAAGTTTCAGCTAACATTGTGTTATAAAGAGAAGCTAGTGTATTATTCCTTCAGAGTGCAGTTTTACAAAATTGATATGGATTTTAATTTAGCCTGAAAAAATGCAGTCTACTTCTCTGTATTGTAATTGGATGATTCTTTTTACCCATTACAGAGGAATTGGGTAAGAAATTAGACGAGTATGTAGCAACATTGCCAGTTCCTACTCATGTCATCAGGTCTGAAGAGAGAACGGGTCTTATCAGGGCAAGGTTAAAAGGTCAGTGGATTTTAAAAATAACATGTATTAATCTTGAAATATGTGTTAAGAAATTAATTTTTAAATGTTTGAATTTATTAATTTTTCAAAAAATTAAATTTTCTGTTTATTACATTTTCATTCATTTTCCCTTTGCCCCTATCTTTTCACAAGACTGTATCATATGCTGTGATGTCATAGTTGATCAGTTGAGAGGTTATAGCTTAGCAATGGTGAGATTTCAACAACATATTTGGAGAAACTTTGGCAGTTTTTGTCTCTGTCAGAATGGTTTATTTACTCAATCTTATAACAGGCCAGGGTTTTTTAAAACACTCTTCGTGAAGGGAAGAAAATTGAGAGTTTTGTTGCACTTCTGGTATTTTTTCACAATGTCACAAAATATCACTTAGATATTGTTTCACACTGCGACAAAACATCAATGTAATCCTCTTGGTGTGGCAGTCAGACAGGTTTGATTGCCTGTGGTCAGATGGCTCAATTTGTAGAGCACCCGTCAAGTGATTAGGGGCCCAGGTTTGAATCCTGGTCTGGTCCGTCACATTTTTTTCCATTCCTGTAACTGAAAATATACCCATTACATTCATGATATAATCAATTCCACAATTTCGATATAGACTTGCATCGTTCATTTAGTGTGAGACCCATTTTATCATTAACAACAATTTTTATATATTGACTTTATTAACAGGTGCAAAGAAAGCAAAAGGAAAAGTTATAACCTTTTTAGATGCACATTGTGAATGCACACAGGGTTGGTTAGAACCCTTATTGTATGAAATCCATAAAGATAGGTAAGTAGAGGTAATGCTTGGTTTAAAATCATCTTAAATTTTATAAATGCAAAGATTTGTTCAAAATACCAGAATTGTAGGCTTCTGTAATCCAGAAATTTTTACGTTCTTAAAATTTGCATTAAATAAGTAATTTGAGAAGTAGAAGTCTTCTGTAAGAAATTAATTTATCTACAAGTATATTATAATTGTGAATTGGAGAAGTTGTGATTCATTCCAAGCATTAAGTGTAGGGTAGTAGTAGCAATACCAACTTGTTTCTCTTCAATTCACAATCTAACTTTTTACTCAGTAAGTAGACATATATATGTTCATGTTCAGTGTGTATGTGTTAAGTTCTATAAAATTCAAATTACAAAAATGTTAAAATTTGGCATTTAATTAAATTTTTAAGACTTTTTATGCCATGTAAGTCACAAGGTATGAGTTACTGTGTGACTGAATGGACTTTAACCTGTGGCTCTGTGATGATTTACGCCTTTTAGTGATTTCCTTTATTTATTATTCTGTGCAGGACGGCTGTCGTATGTCCTATCATTGATGTCATCAGTGATGACACGTTTGAGTACATCACGGGCTCAGACATGACCTGGGGAGGATTTAACTGGAAACTTAACTTCCGCTGGTATCCCGTCCCCCAGAGGGAGCTGGACAGGAGGGGAGGGGACAGAAGTAACCCCACAAGGTATGGAATCTCTGTATTGATCAGTTTACATGGTGATGGAAATTAAAGCTTTGTTGTGTTTCCAAAAAAAGATGAAAAACTAACATGACTGCCTTTGGGTTTTATTATTTTTGATGACATATAAAAGATTGAAAAATAGATTATGTTCATGAAACACATTATGTAGTTATTATAAGAAAATTTTAAGACTTTGAAGTAATAGACAGTTACACAAATACATCATTAAAATTTTTGAATTTTTGCAAACTTGAGAATGTGAGACTATTCAGTGTTTAGCTGTTAATAAAAGGTATTGATGTATGCATACATTTTTTTCTCCTACAGAACTCCCACAATGGCGGGTGGTCTGTTTTCTATAGACAGGGACTATTTTTATGAAGTTGGATCATATGATGAAGGAATGGATATATGGGGAGGGGAAAACTTAGAAATGTCTTTCAGGGTTAGTATGACAGCTGTTTTATGAGTTACATTACTCGTTCTTACTGCCTTGTGAACAATGATAATCAGTGCTTCTTTATTTTTCATAATTCTGACAATGTTTTATACATTTATAAATTTTTGAATAATATACATGTAAGCATGAGAGGTGAAAGAAGTTTTTTTTTAATTTCGGAATTCGATGTACATTTTTAAAATATACATGTATATTATAGAAATGTATCTTTAATGTGAAAAAAGATTTTAATTGTTTTTTTGTTTAATTTGGTGATTAGGTATGGATGTGTGGGGGCAAGGTGTACATTGTCACCTGTTCGAGGGTGGGTCATGTGTTCAGAAAAACCTCACCTTATTCCTGGCCGGGAGGCGTGGCCCGCATTATCAATCACAATACACAGCGTATTGTAGAAGTGTGGATGGATGAATACAAGGATTTCTTCTATAAAATTAATCCAGGTATGACGGAATTTAATCAACTTAACAGCCAGGTGTAACATTGAACAAGACACATCATCATAAACACTTAGTCCATTTAATTTGATTACTCACCATACATGTACAAGTGTATGTGGAATGGACCAATGACAGTATTCAATGTAAAGTGTAATACATGTACTCACCGTGGAAATAGGTAATATAAGTATGGCCTCATGTTATGTTAAGGTTTATCAACCCTCTGTTCACGCTTAAACTTTTGCTTTAACGCTAATTATTTTCGAAAAGAAATCAAATTCATAATCAACATGCAAACACCTTCAGCATACCCGCTTTATAGGGTAAAATTTGACAGAAATGACGTTTTGACAATCTTTTAAAGAAATAGTAGAAATTTATTCCAGTTAGAGTATCTCTATTATAAGAGGATGAATGAACTTAAGGTTAAGACAAGGTTCCCTTTCCTTAAGTAATGTATATTGTACACCTTGAAAGTAAAGAAAATTTGCATTATTTTCATCAGAATAGCTGTTAATTTACCACAATGTACATTACCTATAATTTTCCTGAACTTTCTTAATAAAATTTTTGAAAATTATTTAATTCAGGTCAGATTTGACCTCATCAGATTCAGACTATGATTTTAAACTTTTTTACTTTGAAATTAAATACAAGCTGTTGTAACTTTATGTTATGAATTAAATATTTTATAGTAAATTTGTGAACTACTTTTGTAATTGTGAAGCTCTCCACTCTTCAGGTTTTTGTTCAAAGTAATTTTCTATTAACCTTGAATTAAAAAGGAGAAAACTATAAAATAAAAATGGGTAAAAAAACAATGTGATTTGTTTTCACAGGAGTAAGGAGCACAAGTTATGGAGATGTATCAGAAAGAAAAGATCTAAGAGAAAAACTTCACTGTAAAAGCTTTAAATGGTATCTAGAAAATGTTTACCCTGAATCTCAGATGCCTGTGGAATATCATGCTTTAGGAGAGGTGGGTCACTTAGTGTTGAGTTTAACACAGTTCAGGATTACTTACTTATATCTAAGATACATGTGTTTAATCAGACACACAGTCAAACCTTTTTATGTTAAACTGGATGGGGCTGAGAAAAAAAAATCAAGATATCAGAGGATTTAAGAAATTGAGGTTAAAACACATAAAGAAAATGTATTTTGGACTTCTAATTTGCTTATCCATGGTGTTCGAGAATACAGAAATTTAACATTATTGTAAAAATGCATCCTTACTTCAGAACTCAACTCTTATACATATTGTTGAATAGTATATTAGTTACACTGTGATTGTAGAAATAAGGTGTACATATTTGTCAGTTATTGTAGTAGTAAGCTGTTACAATACTGTTGTGTTTTAGATAAGAAACAAGGCAACTGGTCAGTGTATAGATAGCATGGGGCGAAAAAGTGGGGAGAAGGTTGGACTAGTCCAGTGTCACGGCATGGGAGGGAACCAGGTTAGTGTTCAATCATGGAGTATAAGATTATATGAATAGCTTAGACCTTTTCATATATTAAAAAAAAAAACAGTAAAGAAAAGATGAGATATTTTCTTAATCTTAAATTGACAAATTTAAATTTTCAAATTTCAAAAATTTGAATTTATAAATTTAAATTTAATTTTAATTTAAAAAAAAGTAAATTCCCCTTGATAATTAGAATTATTTTCTCCAAAAAAAAAGAAATTAATGTAATTGTAAGATTTTATTTCATGATTTTTCTTGTACACATGTATTTAACTTATTGTGATATATTTCTTTGCTTTGTTTATGTTATAATACATGTAGTTGTTCTATTTTCAGACATTTTAAGTATGTATTTTAAAAGTATTATTTTCTGTACATGTATTAAGTTCACGCATTATGTATTGCAAGGTGTAGCATATACAAATTAAAATCATTTATAAAAGGTGCACCATTTTTCAACCTTGGTGGATCTAGTTAACTTCTTCAGCTTTCAAAACAATCACAATATATTGGTAGCTGAGGAATGAATTCATTTATCAGGTTTTTGGAATCAGATAAAGCCTTATAGAAAAAATATCTTTGGTTGAATTTATTACCAGGAACACGTTTTTTTTTTTTAGCTCACCTGAGCCAAAGGCTCAAGTGAGCTTTTCTGATCAAAATTTGTCCATTGTCCGTCGTTGTTGTGGTTGGCATCATTGTCGTTGTTGTAAATTTTCACATTTTCATCTTCTTCTCCAGAATCACTGGGCCAATTTCAACCAAACTTGGCACAAAGTATCCTTGGATGAAGGGGATTCAAGTTTGTTCAAATGAAGGGCCATGCCTTCTTCCAAGGGGAGATAATTGCGAATTCATGAAAAATTTATGGCATCTTTCAAAAATCTTCTTCTCAAGAACCACTGTGTTAGAAAGTATGAAACATGTGGAAGCATCCTCAGATAGTGTTGATTTAAGTTTGTTCAAATCATGACCCCGGGGGGTAGGGTGGGGCCACAGTGGGCGATCAAAGTTTTACAAAGGAATACATAGGGAAAATCTGTAAAAATCTTCTTCTCAAGAACAGCAAAGTCTTGATTGGTCATATTTATATGGAAGCATCCTCAGGTAGTGTTGATTCAAGTTTGTTCAAATCATGACCCCCGGGGGTAGGGTGGGGCCACAGTGGGCGATCAAAGTTTTACATAGGAATACATAGGGAAAATCTTTAAATATCTTCTTCTCAAGAACAACAAAGCCAATATTGGTCATATTTATATGGTAGCATCCTCAGGTAGTGTTGATTCAAGTTTGTTCAAATCATGACCCCTGGGGGTAGGGTGGGGCCACAGTGGCGATCAAAGTTTTACATAGGAATACATAGGGAAAATCTTTAAAAATCTTCTTCTCAAGATTGGTCATATTTATATGGAAGCATTCTCAGATAGTGTAGATTCAAGTTTGATCAAATCATGACCCTCAGGGGTAGGTAGGGGCCACAACGAAAGTTTAAACTTGTAGGGAAAAAGTCACAGTTAGTCAAAAAAAAAGTGTAAGCATCCTTAGTTAGTGTAGATTCAATTTTGTTGAAATCATACCCCCCCTCCCTTTTAGGGGTAGGTCGGGACCACTTATGCATTTAAGCATTGCAATACTAAACAGATTTTTGCTTTTTTCCTAGCCACAGTGCTCAGGTGAGCAATGTGGCCCCTGGGCTTCTTTTTTTTAATTTATAAAATCGAATGTGATTTTTTTTTTCTGAAACTTTTATTATACGCTTAGCTTTGAGTTCAGAAGTTGTGTATACGCTTTGCAGCTGCTTTACATTGAGTGCAGTAATGAAGACTTGTGTTTCAGATTTTCTCATACACAAAAAAGAAAGCATTGCAAACAGATGATGTATGTCTAGACGTGTCATCACTGCATGGGCCAGTTAAATTATTCCAATGCCATGGTTTAGGGGGAAATCAAAAATGGGAGTATGATCGGAAGGTAAAACTTATCTCCTGATGCTGAAGAGTGATCTAGGGAAGATAACTCTTAGACTAGTGTGTGTGTATTTCAAAAAAGCTGAACTTTCCAAAATTGTCTTTCATCACACACTGTAGAAGCACACTTAAGTTTATCACTGTATTTAGAAACAAAGCAGCGAGGAACAGTTGTGTTATTGAGAGACATTGATTAGAGAGTTCAACTTTTGTTTTCTAATTTTACTTTCATTTCAGTTCCAATTTTTGTATTTCAGCCGAGTTGAAGAACACCCCCAGCATGATATGTTTTCTCTCTCACAGCACAGCTTGACTGACCTTTCCTTCCTACATCTATTTTGGGGGATATTTATCACTGAATTTTGCAAGCATTTTGAAAACTTTTTACACACACATTTACTATTCATTGAAATTGTGGTATTGGGCATTCCATGGCATCAAAAATGCATCAAAACTTTGTAAACCAGTGTAATATTTCATATTCCTAAACTCCTACTTCTGCATGCCTTTTCACAAATAAAACCAAGACAAAAATAATTGAAACAAATCATTGACTGGCCATTATGTCAGGAATAATGTATAGAAAGAAAGAAAGTCATGCTTTTGCGTGGGAGAGACAACAACCCTAGTTAAGTGTCAGTAGATAGGTTGACAACAGTAGTTGCGTAGACTTTTCTTTTAATGTCTCCCTCTGCATGACTATGTAGGTGTTCGCGTATTCGGGGACCAAACAACTAGTTACAGATGACAATCTATGTATTGATGCTAGCTACAACACCCCCGTCTTTATCCGCTGTGACACGGGCAAGGGACAATGGGATTATGTTAAAGAGGTAGATTTTACTAAACTTTATTAATCTGCTACTTCTCCCCCACTCAGTTATTGTTATTACATCTAAATGTTTAGATGGCTTGTTTGCCCTGTGTGTTCACAGTCTTATAAATGTGGTTCTGGAATCTAGCTTTTATGGGAGGAAGTTGACACTTTGCATGATGGGAAAAAGGTGTGGATCGGATTATTATGAAGGAGGAATAAGATCGCTTTAATAAGAATGCTGGTGATTTACAGATATGTTGAAATAGAAATCAAATTTTTACCATCCTTTCTAGAATAATTTGATTAGATGCAAATATTAGTACTTATTATTGGTATGTTAAGTTGTTTGTAGATAGTCTTCATTTAATGACTGGCACCAATCTGACCATAGATCTTTTTCTCTTACTCTCTCTTTATTTCACTCATTTCAAAAGAAACTTTGGAATTAGAGGCATGTGTGATATACATGTAAATATATTTTTTATGCTTAAATACTATTCAGTGATTAAATAAGAGGTCTTGTTTGCATGTAGACCTAGTGGTGGTAGGTTTTGTAATAAAGATAAAGGAATATGGCATGATTAGAAATAGATACAAAAGCATTCCCACATATCACATTGATGCATATCTAAAGAGAGCATACATCAGCTTGAAAAAGTGTAACTATACAAACTGTGTTATACACGTACATGTTTTGTAATGTTATCTACCTCTCTCTCCCTCCACCCCCACCCCCATTGCTGCAAATGAAAAAAAAAGTTTTGTTGAGTGCTATGTAGACTATTAAAATTATGAACTCATCAGACCTACACTATAAATAAATATTTGTTATAACAATTTTGCACCAGAAAAAAAAGAAAAATTGGTCTGAACTGAACTTGACAACATACGATGGCTGTTAGGTAAAGAAAAAATACATTCAGAATGTAGAGTACTTCATTCAAAGATGATATGAGCATTCAATACCTCTTTTTTCTGAACTGTAACAAGTGTCAAACATTTAGAGGAACTATTTTACAGTTTTAATTAAAAAATATCAAGAAATATACAGGTAACACTTTTTAAATACAATTATACAACTACTCTTCTAATAGTAGATAATAAGTTGAATTGTCCCTTCATATGAACTATTTTGAAATGCCCCTTCCTATGAATTTATGAAGTGTCCTTTCATATGAACATTTATGAATTGTCCTTTCATATGAACATTTATGAATTGTCCTTTCTCTTCATATGAACATAATTTTGAACATTTCTGAATTTTCCCTTCATTAGGACATTTATGAATTATCACCTCATTTGAACATTTTTGAATCGTCAATTCATATGAGCATTCTGAATTGTCCCTTCATGTAAACATTTTTTTTTACAGACCTTTGAGCTGAAGCATGTAAACAGTAAGCAGTGTCTAGGAGCTGCTGGACCAAATGACAAGGATGCTCCATCTATTGGTGAGTGATCCACAATGGTTTTACTTGTATGAGAAACACCTCTGATGTATGTATGGATTCTGTTGTGTGGAGAAGATAAAGAATTGTATACATATTTTTTCTTTCATTGTTACACATCTTACTACAACCTCTTCATTGATTCATGTTAAATTCATAACATTTGCATAGTTTGCCTCCATTGTTTGAATTACAAAAGGGCTTATACATTTCTAGCCTATGACCTGCCTGTCATTGCTCCATTCCTTTCACCATTATGTCACATGACCTTGACCTTGAAGAACTATGTCAGTAAGTTGTATCCTTCTATTCCAGGACCATGTGATGGCAGTGTAAGGCAAAAGTGGGTTCTAACAGACATGAAATGGTAGAGGAGGGTAGAGACTTTTTTCCCTGTAGTGTGATAATCCGCGATATACATCGTGTTCGCAAACCAATCTCTTCATCTGGGGACCAGAGGTCAAGGTTGGCCAATCAAATTACAGAGTCATTCTGTGTCAGAATGTTCGCATATCTAGATTGGTGCTCAGATTTCTAGTCATCTGATTATGTGTGTCAAGGTCATCTGATCTTAACCTTTGACCTTGACTTGATTTTGTCCGTTGAGCATGGATTTATGGATAAATTTAATCAGGAGAGTTGGTGTCCAATTTGGTCTTTTATATTGATGTTGCTAGAGCTTTTTTAAATTGTTATTTTCTTTTTGTTTCTCTACTGCATCAGTATGAAAACTTGCAAGCATGACTTGTATAGAAGTGATATTTTTGTGAATGATTGCTTGTTAACAAGTTGGTTTAGCTGTATGTTGAGTCTCTTTGTTTAATTATGTGTTTTACTAATAGCAGAAGTAAAATGCTCAGATTTACAGGGAGTAATCAGAATGTGTATTAATTATATTAATTTATTGAAGCACATTCAAGTTGTTTTACTGAAAATTGCATATTTTTTTTTTCTGAATGTACTGAGAGGTTTATGTTTGATGTGTATGTATTAATGATGTTTACTGACAATTTAATTTAGCTACAATCAGTTTATTAACTTTTGTATTTAGATTCAGTCCAATTAGCAAATTTAAATTTTACATTTGCTTTTCATGAAAAGAGGTTGGGGGGGGGGGGGGGGGGGAGTTGACAATTTTTTTTAAGTTTGTAGGCTCAATAGAAAAGAGAAGATGAAATCATGAGTTACCTATGTTGTATATCTGATATGTTACATAGATGTTTGATCTGTAATCAAAAATGTACATGTATTATAGTACCACCATCATTCCATTAAAAGTAGTTATAGCTCAGAGTATGTTGTGCAGTATTATAATTAACTGTTATAGAGAGAGGTTCACACACACAAATGTTTTGTGTTTAATTCAATTTTGAGTCGTGATATATATTTTATTTTGTATAATTCTATGGTGTAATTAATCAAGTGTTTAACTCTAGTTTTGTGATTAAGATTTGTCAAGCTGTTCACTTGATTCAAATTTTGAAAATATTGTCTTTATTGATCAGCTTCATCCAAGAATAATTCAAATCAATCTTTTTTCAAATGGCTACATTGCAAGGTACCCAAATTGGTACATGAGATCCTCTTTTTTTAGAATAAGTTTTCTTTTCAACTATGATATTTAAGTTACAAAATGGCCATTGAGGCACCTGATTGGACATATACAGTAAAACACGCTTATAGCTAAGTGCCAGGGATTAACAGTTTTGATTCATTTTAAAGGTAATTTGCTATAGAAGTTAAGTTCAAAGTTTTTACAGGGAATGAAAATCGCTTTGCTGTAAGCTTGAATTCACTATTAACATGTTCACTGTGTGTTTTACTGTAAATATATTAAGGTTCAACCTTTTTTTCCCCAGACTTAAATTATGTCAGTTCTATCACCGCCCCTGTCTTATATGTCTCAGTTGAGTAATGTGGCTGATATTGGTACATGTTTCTCTCTTTGTTTGTATGTCAAACATTTTATTAAATGTTTATTACTCTACAGCAGTATAGTTAGATTTTTGTTGTTGTTGTAAAGTAAGACTCTGTATTAGATATTCAAATACCGTATTTTTTTAGGGGTCTATTTACAATGTGAAAGATGCATACATCTAAGAGTGATTGAGACAAGTTGTGTAGATGTGATAAAGAGTTGTAAACAAGTGTTTATTTGATACTGAAAAGAGAGTACAAGTCATTACAAAATGTTTGTTGTTATCATCCAACCATAGTTTATTACCGAATGTTTGAGAGCTGTTACAGCAATATAGTTTTTAGTGTGCAATTGCAAAATTTTGCATGGAGGAATTTTTTTGTATATGTTGCAGAAATTTATTTTATTTATGTATACATGTACAGTGTATTTCATGTGTTATTACATTTTATGCAAATTTGATACTATCACAAAAAAAAAGAAAATTTTAAAATGATTTTGCACATGGTTTAATAGAAAATTGTACCTTTGAAATTTAATTATGATGAATATTATTGATTGAGAAGTATTTAGTACAACGTTATCTTTTTGAGTGTTATAGTACATTGCTTTAACCCAGTGCAGGTTTAAGTATAAAAATGTTCCAATTTTGCACCCTTTTGCCATTCAGAAATCTAGGAAAAATGATTTTTTTTTTTTTCAGTTTAAGCAATTGGTACAGTCATAGTAGATTTTGATATTTACAGAATATGCTTTAAACATTGTGTACATATTAATGTATCGTCATGTCATTTAATATTTTAATCAGTGTGGAAATTGTTGAAATATTTAATATTTATTAACTATGTTTTAAACTTGCCATTTTGTTCATCTTATTCTCAACTATATGACAGTGTTGGGTTTTTCCCCCATTGATTTTTAAATAAAAATACGACAGTACATGTAATTCAGAATCATACATGTATTAAGTGTACGTATAAATGTGCTGTTCAGTGCACATAACTTTTTTTTCAAGGACATCAATTTGGGGTGTATTTACATGTATCTTCCACAGTATGTTTAAGAAAGCAAAATGGAGGATTAAAATGATACAGAAATTAAATATGATTGAAAGTAGGGGTCTTAACAATTCATCAATCTTCTTGAAGAGTTAAAATTGATTCCTGTTCACATGAGAAAACTCCCATATCTATAGGCAGGTACTTATCCAGTGTTAGTTTAATCAGGTTTTATTTTCTTGCAAATATTCTGATTTTTTTTTTTTTAATTATAAAATTCTGTAATTGAAAACACCATTGATAACAAGTGCTAGGTTTATTGCTTTAAATCTAAGGCTATTAATCTGTTTGAAAAAGTGTCAAAGAATTGATTTTGTATTTAACATTGTAATAACTGAAGTTAAGAAAAATCTTTTCAGAAAGATTTTAAAATTTTCTTTGCTTTATTTTAACTTGATTAAAAGTTTTTCATCTCATGTCCATTGTAGCATAATTTAAATGCGAAAATTTAACATGAATTGAACCAATGATAACAGTGTTACATACATGTATATGACTGAAATCGTTTCAAAGGTAATGTGTTTTTCCAAATTCTGATGCAAATTGATTCATAGCAATTTAAATTAAGATGTTTTTTTTTAAACATTCACGATATTTATTTATTAGAGATACTTCAAAAATGGTTGGACCTGGCTGTTCTTATTTTAGATGTGAACATTCCAATATTGGCTACCTTAGGTTGCAATGAAATTTTTATAGCTAATAGTCTAGGTCTAGGAAATTAAATGCATTTTCATCCCCTGTTTAATCATTCCATCTGATTTTAGCTATTAAGAATTGTACCAGTTTAAATCTGTATTACGACACTTTTAGGCAATTAATTTCTCTATGTATTTGAGGGGAAGATTTTTGATTTTTAAAATTTTGATGAAACCTCAATTGTTATATATGTGTGGAGAATTACATTATTACATGAAAAGTATGTAGGGAACATAAAATAGTAATAAAATGTAGACAATGAAAACAGTTGTTAGTTTGTTTTTAGGTCACCTGAGTCACTCAGGTGACCTATTGCTATCTCTTTTCGTCCGTCGTCGTCTGTCGGTCGTAAACTTTTGAACATTTTCAGCTTCTTCTCTGGAACCAGCAAACCAATTTCAACCAATTTTGGCATATAGCATCTATGGGCGAAGGAGAACAAAATTTGTGAAATTTGTGGCCCCTGCCCCCCTGGGGCCTGAGGGATGGGGCCAAAACCATTAAAATTAATGCAATCTTTAAAAATCTTCTTTACTCCTGGACATCAAACAGTCAAACTGTTGGCATGATTGTATAAGCATTGAGCCCTCTACCAAAATTATGAAATTCATGGCCCCAGGGTCAGGGGTTCTGGTGCTAGGGCGGGGCTATATAGATCATATAGTGAAAGTGCATTATTTCTTTGAAAATATTCTTCTCTACTCCTGGGTATTATTGAAACAAACTGAATACATAGTTATGATAAGCAAGGGTGACTCTACCAAAGTTGTGAAATTCATGTCCCCAGGGTCAGGGGTTCTGGTGGTAGGGTGGGGCTATATAAATCATATAGTGAAAGTGCATTATTTCTTTGAAAATCTTCTTCTCTACTCCTGGGTATTACTGAAACAAATTGAATACATAGTTATGATAAGCAAGGGTGACTCTACCAAAGTTGTGAAATTCATGGCCCCAGGGTCAGCGGTTCTGGTGCTAGGGCGGGGCTTTATAGATCATATAGTGAAAGTGCATTATTTCTTTGAAAATCTTCTCTACTCCTGGGTATTATTGAAACAAATTGAATACATAGTTATGATAAGCTACGGTGACTCTACCAAAATTTTGAAATTCATGACCCCAGGGTCAGGGGTTCTGGTGCTAGGGTGGGGCTATATAGATCATTTAGGGAAAGTGCATTATTTCTTTGAAAATCTTCTTCTCTACTCCTGGGAATTATTGAAACAAATTGAATATATAGTTATGATAAGCAAGAGTGAATCTACCAGAATTAAGAAATTCATAGCCCCAGGCCAGGGGTTCTGGTGCTATGGCGGGGCTATATAGATCATATAGTGAAAGTGCATTATTTCTTTGAAAATCTTCTTCTCTACTCCTGGGTATTATTTAAGCAAATACATGGTTATGATAAGCAAGGATGCCTCTTTCAAAATTGTGAATTTCATGACCCCTGGATCAGAGGTTCTGATGTTAGGGCTGGGCTCTGTTTATTATATAGTGAAAATGCATTAATGCTTTAAAAATCTTCTTTGCACCTGGGCATGTCCGAGCAAAAAGAGTAAAAGTTTTAATAAGGAAGGGTATTTTTACCAGATTTTTGAACATCAGGACCATTTGGTCAAGTGTTCTGGTCCAGGCCAGGACTCTATTAATCTGTATTCTACTGAGAGGAGTTATTCCCTTTTGCCATTTACTTGTGATAATTAATCACTGTAAATAATGTACTTGAAAGGTTAATAGAATAAGAGAATTATGCAAGAATTTTTATTTTAAAATACAAAAAGTACTTTCATAGTTTTAATGATCAGGTAGAGTTGTAAGAACATGTAATAGATAAATAAAAATGAGACAAAAATAACTTGTCTTATTAAATGTTCATCAAAGACCAAGAGAGGCCAATGTAAGAGATTTCAACAAGGAATTAAAAGAGTACAGAAGCATTGATAGTTTGTTTATATACTGTCTGGTGAGAGTGATAAATGAGGAACAGATTAGAACCTAATTTATGAACTGTTAATGAATACTAGATTAATTGTTTTGTTGATCCTGATCACCCTATTTTTCTTGCTTTTGGGCAACAAAGCTTCACCTTTCAGTTCATTTTATACTCTATGGATCCTCTAAATAGTTGTATTATACTCAGGTGACTGTTAAGGCCCTTGGGCCTCTTGTTATGTTTGTAGAAAGAAAGTTGCTTCACTGTAAAGAATGGTAATATATTTTAATACATTCATTGAATATTTGCTTGTCTATTTCTTAAGAAAACGACCGTAGTTCAGTCAGTAAACACCACTCAGCATATCACCTGCAAAGATTTCTTGAGCAGTAGCTCTTCCATCAATGAAACATACAGTGACGTACATACCAATGATACAATATTTAATCTACTTAATCCTAAT